AATGCCATCAAAACAGGGTGGCTTGAAAGAATTTGTCGGCAGTGAAATTTGTGGATGGATGGAATTTTTGAGCCTGTTTCAGTTACTCTCGATGTTTGAAGCGGGCCCTCCGATGAGCAGTGTGCTTTATGTCGTAAACTATGGTGAGCCAGAGCCAACGGAGAGGTGTTAGGGATGCAGTGTTTAATGTTTGAAACTCATTTTTGAAGCTTTGTAAGTTTTTCTTTCAGAATTCATACTGTGTGTAAAGCCTCCTGAAATGTCCTAACTAACAGTGCAGTTACACTGAGTCGTATTAATTGGTTACGCAGCAGAGTCTAGAAGTGTTTCACTGTGAAGAACAAACCCTGAGACACACCTACCTAAGTGTGAAGGAACAAGTAAAGGTTTATTCCATGCTGGATAGAGAAGAAAGAAAACACAACGTTTCCGCTGTGGAGCCTTCTTCTGTAAGCACCTGTAAAGGCTTACACCTGAAGAAGGCTCCACAGCCGAAACGTTGTGTTTTCTCTCTTCTCTTTTCAGCACAGGAATAAACCTTTACTTGTTCTTTTGCAGCCTACGCATGCTGACGCAGCTACCCACCTGAACCACTTCCACCTAAGTATGAATACATACAAGTAAGGAACATCCCTTTTCCTGGTGTTTTCATTTTTCACACATCCTGCTACTCTGTTAATGCCTTTTCAGTAGCCTTTGTTCTTTCCACCTGCTGTTGGAGTTCTGATATCCAGGCCATCAAGGCCAGCAAGGTCATAACTCGCTGAGCATGTTAAAGCCAAATCCAGTTTTCAAATCGTCCAGACGCTGATCGTCTCAATTCTGGTGTTTGTTCAAAGCTATGGAAATGTATGATCAAGGACCAAATAACGTATGAGCTCAAATTAAACAGATACTTTGTTTTCTATCATGTGGAGTTTCATAAAGGCTGAACTGTCTCAGTGCACTGTTTGATACCTTTTCTCTGAAATATTTACACCTGCACATGTTCAAGAGAATGAAGAGAATCTCCGGAAGAATATATTTAAATAAAGTGCAAAGCTACAGCATTAATATTCCGTATGAAATTATAAAACAAAGTGTAATATAACTGTCTGCTTAACAGTAAGGAGCTTTGTGTGTTCCAAGAGAGCTGATGTTAGGTACAATGTGAGTCTCTGTGATAAAGGTGTCTGATTGTAGAGGACAGCAAAGGAGAACCAAAGGTCAGAGCAAACAGGAAATTTGAGGCTTTGAATGCGAGAAAGAGGAACCTTGTGCTTGATATGTTGCGTTGATTGCTTCCTCCTTAAAAGTGATCTGCCAGGAGTCTTAGATTTCTCTGTACGGTAAGGGCACACGTTGAGATACAGAGCCATTCACACTGGGCAGATTAGCAAGGGGCTGCAGCCTGCAAGGTCTTCCAGCCCTGCAGCTCATTAACAGCTGTGGGATTTGCAGGCAACCCACAATTCTGGCTGTGAAATGATAACCTCTGATGGATGGCAGTGCGATTCGAGGGAATTAAAAATGAAACAGTAATTACAGCTGGGATAGAGCTGTTACTGGACAGGGTATTGTTTCTGCGTGTATCTGTATTTAGTGCATGTATCTACTTAATTTCTCTACTCATTGTAACCCAGCTATTTATTGGTCATATTGAATATCTGATAGTATTTCAAATATTTGTTTTTTAATGCTTTCACTAATGCCCAAAGTTCAAAATAGGATACAGTATTTAGGGTATCTAAATATGTGACGTCTGTCCGTACAGAGGTGTGGCCTTTGGTTTATCCTTATAAAATATACATTGGCAGGACACAATGGGAACAATCTAATGTGCTGAAACATACAGAAAAGGAAATACAAATGACAAATGGACAGACAGTTTATTGTCCAGTAAACTGTTTCATGCAAAACACGGAGATACACAGAGAAACAGACTGCTACCTACTGTGCATTGATCATATCCAATGGTAAATAACCTGAAAAAGATCAAAACACCAAACACAAAATGAACATTTACTCTGTTTACAGCAAAAGGGTCAGCCAGTGCAAAGATACAGTTAACCAATTCACTTTAAAGAAGCGTAGGAGAGAGGGTGATGGAGGATGGGTGTCCAGAAATACCACTTCCAGCTGTTCTTCTCCCTGTCCTTATTTATTCCTGAGTATTGTTTCTCTTTTCCCTCGCCAGAACCAGAAGGCGTCCCCAGGACCTAGCCGTTTTTGCCATGAGTATCGCAGTGTCTCCAATGGCCACCGAAGCCGTGTCGCCCATGATCACCACTGTCACTCCCACCGTCGAGCCGCGCAAGGCGGCGGAGGAGGAGGAGGAGGAGGGCAGGGGGGGGGAGCTGGCGAAGGAGGCCGGCCCCGCCCAGCGCTACGACAAGCCCCCACCGCTGCACACGGGGGCGGACTGGAAGGTCGTCCTGCACCTGCCCGAAATCGAGACCTGGCTGCGCTGCACCGCGGACAGGGTGCGCGACCTCACCCACTCCGTCCACCAGGACGCTCACAACAAGCACGTGGACGTCCACCTGGTGCAGCTCAAGGTGAGGGACAGCCGGGTGGAAAACCCTGGTCCTGCAGAGCCTATAGGTGTTTTTATGAGGAACTGAAACTCCTCAATGGCTCTCAATAGCGTGGTCAGGCTAATCATTGTGTGTGTTTACTCCCACGATAACAATAAGACTTGACTGACCTGTAGCAGTCCTGCTGAGGCAGGGGTGTTTGATGGAAGATTTCATTCTGTTTTGGGATTTTATTTTCTAGATGAATAGCACTAGGGGGTCGAGTCTGAGAAAGGAGACCACCTGGGAAAACCAGCTGCTATACTGAAAAGAAGAATAAACCAGTCACATCCTCCTAATTAACTCTGAGATGCTCATAAACATGCTCACCAGTGGCATATGGATGCTGTAATAGTGAATGATGGGAATAGTGTGGTCTGGCAGCACAGAGGCATAGACTGAATGCTCTCGATGTGGAACTGAATAAAAAAAAATCAGAAAGAAATTAATTACATGCCTTTTCTATTTCTCGTTCTCAGCTGCAGCTCACAGGAAATGCTGATAATAGCCAACTGACAGCAAATACTGAAATACTAATTGTGTCGGTTTGCAAGTCATGCGTAATTGGTTATCCACTGTAGGTGACGCCAGCCTCAGTCACTGTCTTGCCTGGAGCGTGGTGCTTAAGCTCACAGGTTCCTACAGGGTGGGTGCATCAACTGTACCAATAATCATAACCGGTTGCATTCAAACACGTAAATTTGGGACAGCGTACATTCTAAGAGAAGCGACTGATGGTAAAGGATGTATTGCATCCAGTTCAGATTTCACAACCTGCTGCTCCAGTCTTAGAGCAGATTCACAGTTTAAATCATTTTAATTCCAAATGGTCAAACTGAAGAAACACGGAACAGATAGATGCCTCAGTTGCTGGTGGGGTATTATTTGTGGTTATGGGTTAAAAACTCGAGATCTGTCAAATTCTCTTGTTAATGAATTCCCTGCCTCATTTCTTACTGTTTCTCCTATCAGACATTACACACTATAACGTGTGTTTTATCCGGATTACATTTCGCCTTGTAAGGATAAAAAAAATCATATATTAAGTTTCTAACTATTTTCTAAATTTTGATTAATCTTTATGGAACTGGTTAATAATATTTGAAAAACACCTGCAGTAGCAAATGCTGATCCCAGCAGATCATTTCGGCGGGTGTCTGAGTCTACTGCAGTGGTATATTTCTTTCCTGTCCGGTGTTTGAGAGCCCAGGCAGCTGACTTCTGAGCTGCCAGTCTCTGCTTATTGTAGAAGCCTATTAGTATTACGTTGAGGTTGTAATATGTAAAGTGAGTGTCTTATTCTTGTGCTATGCACTGACTGGCAGACACCACACAGCCCTGATTCTTTCTTACCTCTGTCCATGTCTCCATGTTTTTACAGCCATGTGAAGAAACCTTATTGTGATTTAACACTGTGTTGAATGTGATCTTGCTCTCTGGACCTCAACCAACAGCCTTAAAATCGACAACCTGTAAGGATAAAGAGTACTGATCAATAAAGAGGTTTAGGTGATTTCTAACCCAACCTGAAAACAACTATCTGCACTTTTGGCTGTAGTTCTTTGGACCCTGCAGTGCTAATGAAACTGAAAGCAAAATATGTTAAGGACAGATACAAAGAGGTAAAGACAATGTAAACACTGAAAACCCTCTACTGAAGCAGGCTTTAACTGATAGTGAACATTGATGAGTATACATCAAGTCTCAATCGATTAGTTATTGTGATATACTCTTTTCATATTCTTGTTGAAAACCAATCAGATTCTTGCAATCCAAATTTTTATATTTAAAAAATCCCAATCACAAAACTGACACCAGAGTTCCAACCTGGAAAGTCAATTAAACAATTAACCTACCTTTTAAATAAAACAGATGTGTACAGTATCTATTTAATTAGACAATTGCATATATATGTAATTTATCTTAAGGTTTTTAATACTTGATTACACAAGACTTCAAAGTCTGGTTAGAAGTACTGTACTATCATTATGCAGCTAATTATATAATTAGAATAACCAAATGAGAACATAAGTGTGGCAAAAACTAGAAGACATTGGGCCTTCCAGGAACTGAATTTGATTACCCCTTTATATTATTTTAGAAAAATAATAAACACCGCATCAGTATCAATCACCATATTATTTCAGCCTAATTAATATGATATGATAAAATCAGCAGATCTGGAACAGACCTAAATTTGGAACAGATTGTGACTGCCCGCCACACTAATAATAAATTCTACCTGGAGGGATGTCATTACAAATCGAAGTGAAGGATATCAGAGTCAGCTGGTCAGCCGGCCAGAATGCTATCCAGGGCTGCTCTCATTTTGTGAGACCATTTCGTGGAAAATTAATATCTTCGTCTTGCACAGGGGTGTACTTTGAATTATAATGTTATATAATATAATATATTATAATGTTTCTTTATTAGCCCTATACAATTTCTTGCATTAGGAATTTGTCTTTTCGCATACCCCAGCTTTTTCTCCATGGAGACACAGACACACAGACAGGGAGAGAAGCTGGGGGTCAGAGTGCAGGGTCGGCCATTGTACGGCACCCCTGGAGCAGTTGGGGTGAAGGGCCTTGCTCAGGGGCCCAACAGAGTAGGAGTCCTCTGCCAGCTTCAAGATTTGAACTGGTAACCTTCCAGACACAGGCGCAGATCCTGAGCCACGGAGCCACCTCTCCGCCCCCGTGTGCCATGGGTTTCTGTCAAAGAGACGCTCCGTGCCATTTTAATGTATGTCAGAAGCAAATGCCTGGAGATGCCTCTTTTTCCTTCATGCTGTGTAATATCCCCATAGCTGTCAATGCTGCGAGAGTGATGGTGGTAGCATCTTGATGGTGAGCTTGTGCAACAGCACTGGAAGCAGTGGTGCATCTGCAACAAATGAGTCTGACTGATAATCCTCTTAACATTAAAAATGGAAGAACTCCAGTAATGATTCCTCCTCCCCGTGTTACAGTTTTTCCAGTAAAGTGCAGTAGAAAACAAGAAAACTATTTGTTTTTGAAAAAATAAAACTCTCCATGGACGATTCTGTAGTTACTTTGATACAGATCAACATTCAGCTCATCTTGTCTACCTGCTCAGTCTACCAGAAACTCATAAAACCAGCACAATGCTGTACTACTCCCTGAGTCATGCTGTAGAGTTCCATGTCATGTGGTCACCTGAGACGGTAAATTCATGTTTTTACTGCAGCACAATGAGAATTCCCAGGGACCCACAAAGATCATGGTGGGTTTAATACCTAAATCAGGGGTCTCCGTCCCTGGTCCTGGGGATCCCCAGTCCAGCAGGCTATCCAAATCACCCTAAATCACCAATTACTAAAGACCTGGAACACTTTCACTGTGAAGAATTAATCATCTGATATGTTAAACTAAGTGAATTACTCATGTTCTTCTCTGGTCTGACATGTATTGAGTTTAACTTGACGATCCTCACTCCATTCTCTGGTTCTCTTGCTTCTTGACTCCTTTATGACTCCTTAATTGAATCTTTTAGTGACTTAATATGTCTGAATTACAACTGTTTATGAGTCTATAGTTACTCAGGAGTTTGAGTTTTCTATAAAACATTTAGGATTGTGGCTCTCAAGGAACACAAGTGAGGAATACAGTTTGAACTAATGCAGTACAATGCAGTAATGCAGTAAGTCGATCTTCAAGGATTCAAAACGTTGGAGTAGAAGTGGAAATGGAGTCTGGCTCCTGTCTTTTCCAACCTGTTTTTGAGACTGTACAGTGCAAAGACTGTCTTTAATTGACCGTGTTCCTTTTCAGTTGTAGATCAGTAGGTGCAGTTCTGTTACTGAAATGTCAGAGCAGTATGTTCAAAGGCCTCTTTGCTGTTAGGCCCAGCTACATTCAATTAATATTTTAATTTCAAAATAAAGTAAATGTCTGTGTTAGAAATCACTAATTCAAAATTAGTATCAGGAATGGTCTCCCATAGAAATTTCTTAATGAACAGAAGAATAGGTCTGTTGAAATTTGATTTTATTTTAGTGTAACTAGACTCTTCATGTTACTAAACCCTCTTAAGTACTCATTACTCCAGAAATGCAGTGTAGTGTGTTTGCAACACAAACGGGCAGATGTTTTTGGATTAACTTGGATGTCAAGCGTGTTATTATGCACTCTGTAATTACTGAAATTCCTACATAGAATATGACAGCAAGATATGTGATGCGCTGAACAGTGTGTTTTGATTTGCTTGTGAAAAATATAATTGCATCTCCTTTATTTGTTGTCTCCAAGAAACTCCAGCTCCATCTCCAGCTAGTCTGCTCTTTCCCTCACGTCATACAGATACTTGATGAACATTGACTCACATAATAGTGTGATTTCCTGTGACACACAGTTAGCTAAACCACAATGGCTCATGGTGTGTTTTAGAGGGAGGTACTGGCATGATGTATTGTACAGCATCCTTGTTGATATCTTCCAGACTTCTGGAAGCAGCCGATCTCCCAGAGCCACAGGAACAAGCTGTCTAATGAAAAAGATTCATGCTGACAATGTCTCTGTCTGCCTTGACTGTAGCAGAGACGTCAACACTATTGGTCAAACACAACTTTCTGTTCTCATTAGTTGTATCAAATACAGTATGTATGATACTGAACAGGTATGGTGTAATTTAATTTCTAAATTACATATTTTTTATTTATCAAGCAAAATGTTCTGTTTGCCAGTGCCTTGATGCTGAGAAATGATTCCAAATATTTTCATTATCTGAATGTTGGCCTGGATTAATGCACACTGGGCTAGTACAGTAGTTGGGGATTATGTCATTTATTTTTTGACCTAGTAATTTAGGCATTACCTTTTTTCTAAATTCAGGCCAATCATTTTGGTATACCCACTCGATATGGAATAGCCAATTATATGTTTTTAACCTCACACAGGGTGAATGAGGAAGTGTGGGGAGGCTTTTCTGACCCACCCACCTTTTGAGCCAATCATCTTTTA